TTAGAAGCTGGAAACCTTGTTCAAGCACATTTCTACATAAGGATTGAAAGATGAAGGAAGAACTGCATAGTGTGTGAAAGCATAAGTTTAAAATTAAATGTTTTTGGCTTACTTAATGAAATTGATAACCCTATCTTGTTATACCAGCTATTCGTTGTTCATAAATGTTCCCCGTTGTCAACTTTACACACTAAACGTTTCTAGTTTTTCAACTTTTTCATGTTTACTCAACAGCCAATCACAATGCTTAAAACATAGGGCACCCCCACTCAGTTTGAAAAGCTGCCTGCATCCCAATAATCCCCTGTTTTGGACCATTTGGGACCATTATGGCGTCTTTTACTTCTTGTGACAAGGAAGAAACAGTCTGTGTGTCACTCACCTCAACTGAGAACACATCTTCGCCATCATGTAAGTGACTTAATGTTTCTTTAAAATTAATAGTCTTTTCATTTCTTTATGCTATTCTGGCATATCAAGATTCACATCACATCCTGTCTAGTTTTTCAAGATAAGCATCGTATTGTGGCTTTTTGTATACCTGTAACCCTATACCACAGTGTAAGCATTTAAGAATTGACTTTCACTTTGTGTGAGTTCATTGGAGTATTAATCTTCAAAGAGTGAGGGCCAAGCTGTATGAACGAGACATAAAATAGTTCTTCAAAAAGAAAAGTGACATGAGCGTATCATATTCACAACTTGCTCTTCAGAAACATCTTAAACAACACATGTATTCAACTTATATCACCATTAGATGAGAAAGGTCTATTAAGAACTACCTCAGTAAGTCAGTCACAATGACAGTGTGTCGTTATACATTTACGTCAAGTACGAGACGTCAAAATGGCCAACACGATAAACTTGACGGGAAAGATTTCGGAAGTTGTTAATTAACCAGTGGCGGTTACATGTTTTTGTCATCATTGATCATCTGGCCGATCATTGAAAGGTGATGAAATATGTGTCAAATAGGCACTAAGGTAAATTCATAGATTGCTGTAGACTGCCACTGTCAGCCTAGACATGGATCAAGTCGATACTATGATAGTTTGGAAGTGCATTTCTTCGTTTTGTTCAGTAGGATGGGTCGTAGCAAGGATTTTCGTGAACGACCATGCAGTCAAAGTCTCTGACGTTTCTCAATGTATGCTGAAACGCTGAGTTCAAGATTAAAGGGTCTAAATGTTCAGAAAGAACTTCTGTATGTATTCGTGCTAGGGAATTCCCAGGGGTTTTCCCAGGAATTTGGAAGTAGTCCGTCAGTGCTTACGTCATTTCAAGAACAGGCTTGTTAAGAACGTATGAACGTGAAATTGTGTACTATGCGGTACTGTGTCTCCTTTGCGGTACTGTGTCTCCTATGCGGTACTGTGTCTCCTATGTGGTACTGTGTCTCCTATGCGGTACTGTGTCTCCTATGTGGTACTGTGTCTCCTATGTGGTACTGTCTGCTATGCGGTAGTGTGTCTCCTATGTGGTACTGTCTCCTATGCGGTACTGTGTCTCCTATGTGGTACTGTGTCTCCTATGTGGTACTGTGTCTCCTATGTGGTACTGTCTGCTATGCGGTAGTGTGTCTCCTATGTGGTACTGTCTCCTATGCGGTACTGTGTCTCCTATGCGGTACTGTGTCTCCTATGGGGTACTGTGTCTCCTATGCGGTACTGTGTCTCCTATGTGGTACTGTCTCCTAGGCGATACTGTGTCTCCTATGCGGTACTGTGTCTCCTATGTGGTACTGTGTCCTATGTGGTACTGTGTCTCCTATGCAGTACTGTGTCTCCTATGTGGTACTGTGTCCTATGCGGTACTGTGTCTCCTATGTGGTACTGTCTCCTATGTGGTACTGTGTCTCCTATGCGGTACTGTGTCTCCTATGTGGTACTGTCTCCTAGGCAGTACTGTGTCTCCTATGTGGTACTGTGTCTCCTATGCAGTACTGTGTCTCCTTTGCGGTACTGTGTCTCCTATGCGGTACTGTGTCTCCTATGCGGTACAGTGTCTCCTATGCGGTACTTTGTCTCCTATGCCGTACTGTGTCTCCTATGTGGTACTGTGTCTCCTATGCGGTACTGTGTCTCCTATGTGGTACTGTCACGTAGGCGGTACTGTGTCTCCTATGTGGTACCGTGTCTCCTATGCAGTACTGTGTCTCCTATGCGATACTGTGTCTCCTATGCGGTACTGTGTCTCCTATGTGGTACTGTCTCCTATGCGGTACTGTGTCTCCTATGTGGTACTGTCTCCTATGCGGTACTGTGTCTCCTATGTGGTACTGTGTCTCCTATGCGATACTGTGTCTCCTATGTGGTACTGTGCCTCCTATGCGGTACTTTGTCTCCTATGTGGTACTGTGTTTCACACATCGTACCCATGCGGGTAATCGAACCCGGGGTTTTGGCTTAAGCAAACGCTTTAACCACTAAGCTGCCCCAACACATCCTATGGCTAAGTTGAACGCTGTTTCCTTATGCAACAACGAGGCAGGTGCCAATGATTCATACAGCTTTTCCAAAAGAGCAGATAATACACACAAGAGATTCCAGTGTACTTGGGATATACGTGGAATCTTGACAACTTCCAGAAAAGATCTCATTAGGCTGTTGAGGACAGGATGATCCACTATGGTTAGTCCATCATGCTGGAGTGAGTGAGTGAGTGAGTGAGTGAGTGAGTGAGTGAGTGAGTGTGAGTGAGTGAGTGTGAGTGAGTGAGTGAGTGAGTATGGTTTTACGCCGCTTTTAGCAATATTCCAGCAATATCAAGGCGGGGGGACACCAGAAATGGGCTTCACACATTGTACCCATGTCGGGAATCGAACCCGGGTCCTGGTGTGACGAGCGAACGCTTTAACCACTGGGCTACCCGATCGCCCCTGCTGGAGAACTGAAGTTAGAGCAGACCTGTATCCTTCAATGGTACCGTGAAGAAACATGTAATCCTAGGTCATGAAACCATACTCACTCACCCTCTCTTACTTAATACAATATTTTATCATTTGATACCGCCACATACAATAATGCATTCATTGTCAGAGAGATGTAGTTCAGCTGGAAGTTCCGACTGGTGGCAAACAGGACGATGTTGGGATGGTCGATCCACCGGCAAATCATGGCGAACACCTTGGGATGTAACTTCCATTCCATGGGAGCCACCTTGTCTGATCTTGACAGCGCATCCGCTAGTGTGTTCCGGCATCCTGGAATGTGTTGAACTACGAAGCGGAGGTCAAGATGGTCTACTAGTTGGAAGAAGTGGAACGTCTGCACCAGCAGAGAGCAGAGAGCAGACACCACACCACGGTGATGTTGTCAACTGGGCGTTTCAAAGAATGGCCTGCAAATGTGCGACAGGAGTGCTTCCAATTCTAAATTGTTGCTGTGCCAGTGACACTCTTCCTGACCACAGCCCTGAGGTTGTCTGAGCCTCCAGATGAGCTCCCCATCCTTGTTTGGAGGCGTCAATGAACAGATGTAGCATTGTTTTAGCACAGTCAAGTAAACGCTGCCGAAGACATTCTACTCCAACGTCCACCAACAAAGGCAAGGTTGCAGGTGAATTGGGTCGGAAACAGGCCTCTGATAAATTGAAGACAAAAGGACAGAGTGAGTTTGGACTTGAACTCAATGACAGTCAACCCAAGCTGATGGAGTGAGTGAGAGAGTATGGTTTTACACCACTTTTAGCCATATTGCAGCAATATCACGGCGGGGGTCACCAGAAATGGGCTTCACACATTGTACCCATATCGGGAATCGAACCCGGGTCTTCGGCGTGACGAGCGAACGCTTTAACCACTAGGCTACCCAGGAACAGGTTGTTTAGTATGGCCCAATTTTGCCAAAAATTGATGCAGCTAGAGGTGCTGTAAATCACAGAATTCAACTTCAATAAATCCTCATGATATCTAATGTATGTTATCAAAAGCACACAAAACATTCTTCCATGTTGACCGAGACAACCAGCCTTGTGTGCTTTAAATACAGCTGTGTAGGGTGGGGGTTGTGCGTAAGACATGAATTCCAGTGATCAGAAAGGAGCAACTAACCTTAATGATCGCAAGGGGGTGTTTGATCAGAAAGGGATCCAAGGGCTAAGGAGAGAGTTAGGTGTAACCTAGCACAGCTAACTCTAAGGATAGAAGAGGTACGCAAGATCTGTGCAGCAAGAGCCTCATCCAGCACACTGAGCCGATTAGCTATATTAATGTTATTCATGGCTTCATCTAATATTGTTTAAATGAATTTCATTAAAACTGTGTGCAAACTGATTGGCCGATCGCACCAACTCTCTACTATCTAAAGCAACCATGATCAGATTAACGCTGTTGAACAAACACTAAAAAGTCTTTTCAGTTATCATATTTGGTATTTTTTCAACTGAATCACCCGTAGATTGGGACACAATGTGTCCACAGCTGATAATGTTATTCTCCAAATATAAAGAAATGCCCAGCATACTACACTATTGATTTTTTTTATCCCACTGAAGCAAGTTAGTTGATGATTTTGATGAAATCAGTCACAGTCTGTATGATTTATTCCATCAAAATAATCAACTAGCTGTCATTCGGAATACCCTGTGATAACCTTGTCGAGGTTGCATGATTAAAAAACATAATCTGACTGTCACTTTCCTGAACTGGTAAGGGAAGCTCTGATTGGTTGGAGTGAGTGTGAGTGAGTTGGGTTTAAAGCTGCTTTTAACAGTATTCCAGTCATATCATGATGTGTCAGTTTAAAGTGGGAGGAAAGCCCGAAGTGATGCAGGGCTTAGGCATTCACCATGAAGCTCATGACCACAGGTATGGTGCTCTGATTGGTTGGATGAAACGTTGTTCTGATCTCACCCTTAATGGGATCTCCTCAAATCTTAGTGCAGAGCAGTCAAATTCTGTCAAAATGTACAGCATCCCTGTTTACATTGGGCTGAATAATTATGATTAGTGGATAGACACACACGCACTCACACACAAAGAAAAACTGAACTAGTCTTACATTTACGCAAGTACCCTGGTATGAGTTGATATCTGTGTTAGTCTGATCTTGCTTCAAGATTTCAGCTTCCACTGGTGAATTTTCTGAATCTGATTCTTCCTCTCCCTCACTGCTACTGCAGTAGTAATGAGTTTTTTCTCCAAGCAACTTGTCATCCAGACTCAGAGCCATGACAACACTGAAAATATACCACATTCAGTTAACACCAACAGAGCTACAGATAAGCAGCGTATTTGCGTACAATACCCCCGAAAAATATTCGAAACCCAATTGCTTTCAATTAACTTGCGTACAGAAACGCATGCATTAAATGAAAAACTCAAATGTATAAAAACAGCATGCGTAAATACCAACTAAAGCTTTTTTAGCATGCGTACAAAGGAGCTAATTTCTTAAACACAATTATGAGCTAATTTACTTTCCGAGTCAAGCCTATATATTTAGAACAGTTATATTCATCTAAAATATAATTTCATTTTTTTTAAATCTTAAAATGTTCACTAATTTGGGGATAACCCATAGAGTGATGAAAAGATGAGTGAAAAAATATTGGTTACTCCATGAAAAATGTAATAACCAAATTAAAATAGAAACCCTAGAGTAAAAACTCAATTGCTTAAAAAGTTACCTGGAGCTCTGCATAAAGCCATGGTACTCTCATTCTCCTGTTTTCAATATATTCAACAAATGAAAATTGGGCCTTAGCATCATTTATATATTAAAAAAATATTTATCAAAACATGTTGCAACAAAATTGGTCCTGGTAGCATTTGCTTCCATTAGACCTGCAGCGCTGGTCGGGAAGCGACGTTTTCGTCATTTGGGCCGTAGCATTAATTATCTATTAACATTATTGTTTGGCAATGTAAGTCACCACGCAGCTCAATTTGGCCTGGCCTTGTGATGCCATATAGGCCTTTATAGTATTATTTCATCTGTAAGTAGAGTAGCCAGAACCTCCACACCCTGGGCCATCAGATCCAATGTAGGGTCTTTGTCATTCTTTCAACATGGCCCACCTGTCTCGGGAAGGTGGGCTCTCGCTGTAATATCATGCAATAACATCCAAAGTCAAAATAATCAGTCTGCGTCATTGCAAAACAATGGGATGCTTGTATCATAAGTGATCGAAAATAAGTTTGTTGAATAGATTTGATTCCGATAAAAATGTTTCAATGATTTTGATTGAAATCATGTGTACTTACTCATTGGTGATAGTAAGTTAGCATAAACTTTTTTAATTAATAATTAATAATACTGATGTACAATACAAAGTGATGTCACTTTAAAGATTGGTTTGACTATTTAGCCATCTTTCAGTTTTTGTCCTTTGAAAATGTCTGATGTCAATTACCCTGAAGTTGTTTTCATCACTAATGAAAGTGGGGCGGTCGGGAAGCCTAGTGGTTAAAGCGTTCGCTCATCACGCCGAAGACCCGGGTTCGATTCCCGACATGGGTACAATGTGTGAAGCCCATTTCTGGTGTCCCCCGCCGTGATATTGCTGGAATATTGCTAAAAGCGGCTTAAAACCATACTCACTCACTCACTCACTCACTAATGAAAGAGCATGGACAATGAAACCTATATGGATGTACCGGTAACTGGAATTTCATTGACATAGTATTCCAAACTGTCATTCTTATCGTAACAAAATCTTTGAAACAGTCTGCATATGAACTAATCACGACCCCTTCAGTCTATTGTAGTTGACATCAGAAAAGCTGACTGATGGCCAGGCACCATGAAGGATAATTCACAGTTGAAAAGAGATGTTTCCTCGGAACTATAAATGGTAATGTGGCACTAAGGGTGAGATGAGGTGAGGTGAAATAGAGTTTAACATTGCATTCCAAGATTTTTGCACTTATATGCATGCACCTGTGTGTGTGTGTGTGTGTGTGTGTGTGTGTGTGTGTGTGTGTGTGTGTGTGTGTATGTGCGCGTGCATTCATGTGTGTGTGTGAGAGAGAGAGAGAGAGATTGCATGTGGCTGCTTGTACTAGTCCGGACTATTGCCCTTTTTTCAGTGCTAGCCCACTGAGATACGATGTCTCAGTTTAACATGAATACCCCACTCAGACACAGTAAACTGACTGATTCAGTCCTTGTTTTAGCCTCTTATGCCGAGCGCCAGACAGGGCAACAGCAAGTATCGTAATTATACATGTGTTGGTATAACATGCCTGGGGATCAAACCCCCTGTCCTTATCTCTCCAGGCAGACGCTCTACCACCAGGCCAGGTAGGCAGTCGGCACTTGGTTAAGGAGTAGCATGGTGAGGGACTAGACTCTATGTGTGGTCCTATGCTACCAAGTGAGTTAAGACATTGCACGGGCAATATGCCAATATTTCTGCCATATAGATCTAGATCTATAGCAGGATTCAAAATTACATAAATCTGCTCCTAAATTTAGGCAGGATATTTCCTTGTGGACTACCACATTATTATTAGGTAGATGTCAGCATTTCTGTAGCAGATGACTTCTGTCGACTAGTGAAAATAAAAATTAATTTCTAACTCTGTATAGAGACGAGAAAAAGCCAATGGCTATAGATCTAGAGAATTATTCCAAAGCGATTTTGTCATTTTATCATTTTGCTTCAAATCCTTTAGCTACAACCCAAATCGAAAAACTACAAAAGAATAAACGTTCCTGTTTTAAAAAACATACAATAAGTTGGATTTGAAGATAGAAATCTACCTAAATTAAAATATTTTTCTACATGAAAATAACATCAAGAAAAGATACACTTTCTACTGTTGAGTGCACAGTTGTGTCCCTTTCTTGGAAGTCGCAGGATAACATCGCTACAAAAGATGCTTGCGGTAATCATTTCTCCTATCTGTGTCAATTCATGTTTATCGGCGTGAGGTAGGCAAACAATGTACTGTTTTTTTCTACAGATATGTACATACGTAGACTATTCCGATGCGACCGATGCGACAATTGATAGCTCTCTTCATCTATAAAGCAAACGGCAATAATCTAAAACAGCTGCAACCGAACCTGCACTATTTCTTTTTAGGAATATGCTTGCCATTGCATGTAACACCAGAAGCTTTACTTACAGCATTGGTAAACTACTTTAAATATCAAATGTACTTCATTGTGAAGTGATAGTAATGTTCATCCTTAGCCCCACATACCAACGTATCCTGTTTTCGCTCACTTTGCAATGTGTTTCGAGGTCATGATGGGTAGGGCCTATCCTGAAGTTAGTCAAAACGGACCAGCAAATTTGATCAAAACACTTTTTTGTAAAGATTCAAAACGGACACATGAAACTTTATTTTGGAAAAAAACAAGCTTCTTCATTTTTGAACAAAAGGACATTTTTCGAATTAGCCAAATAACAGCATGTGAATATGGATACAATTCATTGAACGTGTAATTATCCTGGACTCGGCTAACATTGCATATTTGAGATAATGATCACTCCGACCATAACCACATTGATAACAGAATCATCCCTTAGGTTTCTGCAGAAAGTAATACCGACAGTGACATAACACTCACTTTCCCCACATCACGCATGATACTGATACCGATGGTGATTGCAGACCCCTCATATTTCAACGGAACCGCCGATCTTGGGATGCAAGGGTCGAGTATTTCTACAGAGTATAATACCGACAGTCACATAAATCTCACTTATCCCTGCCACAGATGCTGATGGTACTGACATGTCATCAGGATCATCGACCCTGGAATGCTAGGTTTAGGATTTCTAATATTATGTCAATTTACTGTACACTTAAAGTGGTCAATTTTTAAAATCGAATATCACAAGCCTTAATTATTCGCTCTGTGTTCCAAAGTATATTTGAAATGACATAGTGAGTGACTAAAGCTTGTTTATTTCTTAAAAGAGCAATGTTGTATACAGACTATTGAGTTCAGAAGAAGCTGGAGCTCAACAACCAGACCTTTGTAGGAGTTCTATCTATGGCTGCATATGAATCCCTGGTTACATGGTATTCTTGGCATGTCTCCTTTAATAGTGGCTTTGAATCAGAACAATGATTTATCTACATAGCCACACAGGAAATCTTTGCTCAAATGCGTACAGTATATGGAAACCATTCCTTGCATCATCACCCATGATGCTGCTGCACTGGCAGGGGGGCCGTGCCAACAGTCACAAGCATTGTGATCCAGAGGCTCTTCATTTGGTTTCACGAAGCAGTGTAGCTTGTGCTGTCCGGCCTCTTACATTCCTGTGGAGATACTGATCATAACAACACGGGACTATTTTCTTTGAATTTTGAATACTTGAGTCTAGGCATGCTTAAGTTTCTCCAGTGGTGTCCAAAATGTGCCTTTTGGGTTCAAAAGTCAATAAAGTGCCACAACATCTACAGCTAAACAAGCTCTATTGAAAGCACACTATGTGTATCTCCGACCTCGATTCTCTTAAACTCTGATCTACTTCATTATAAAATAACATTACAACAATGTATCTATTACTTTGAACAGATTAATTGTGCACAAATATTAATAACTTTACCACTGTAGATGTATCTATGTCAACAGTATCATCAATACCACTGTGATTGTGTCAACCTTATACCCCATGTTTCGTGAAAAAAATAACCAATGTTTCAGGAAGTCATTATTATGAAAACTTATTACTATATTTGTTTTCATAATATGCTTGTTTTCTATTTTCTATTACATAAATATTTAAACTGAAAGCACTCGAGTGACCTTGACCTTTAAATAAAACTAATTAAACTGAGACCTCTACTTACAGGCTAAATATGCCAAGCATCCAAACAACATCTTAATAAATATGAGGTTTAAAAGATACTTGTGTAAGTATTATGTAACCCATGACTTTGACCTCGGATCCACGATGTAATAATTTTAGTGTAATCCTCAGTTGGTAGTTAGTGTGTGATCTTATAAGGGAAAAAATTGATTAAGTTAGAGCAATTATCAGCTTGGCCTGGCCAAGTCATTAATACATTGGACTCAAATATACACTAAGAAAAAAAAGTTAAGCACACCCTAATATATTTCATCATTGTTTGGTCCCAATATTTGTAACAGTCATGAAAGATATAATTACGGGAAGAATTATGTTTTCTCGAGATGGTGTAATCAGTCATGCGTGACGAAAGCTCACGTGCCATGCATGGTATGCCCGTGCAGCATGCTACCCTCGAGTATCTCTAAAAGCAGTATATCCAAACGTTAAAGTTGCTTTCTTAAGCTCACACTGTCGTAAGCCGTGTAGTCGAAAACCATGCTCAGACCGATGATTTACAGGACCGTCCCAGATCCGTAAGACCTCCTGTGACGACACATCGCGAAGACAGGGACCTTCTTCGTCTCATACGCCGAGAACCCTTTTTAACAAGTACTCGTCTGAAACAGCTGTGGTTGCCCAATCGTCGTTTCAGCACCAGAACCGCCAGGAACCGACTGAAAGCAGCAGGACTGAAGGCTAGACGAGTCATAAAGCGTCCCTTGTTGAGAGATCACCACAAAGCTGCTCGTTTAGCATAGTGTATTGCGCGACAGAACTGGAATCTCAGAACTTGGAGACGGATTCATTGGTCAGACGAAAGTCCTTTTCTGCTCCACGTCACTGATGGAAGAACGAGAGTTTGGAGGCACCGGAACACGGCCTACACCCCCAGGAACATTAAACCGACTGTTGCATACGGCGGGGACTCGGTAACGGTTTGGGGCTCAGTTCATCCGGTACGTTTTGAGGCCAGTCGTCGTTCCTCATTTTGACAACCACCCTCTTGCTACTCGACCTCAGTACATGGATGACAATGCCAGGCCTCATCGTTTGCATGCAGTCGTGGATTACATGTGGGTCAATGCAATAACGACTCTACCCTGGCCAGCAATGAACCCAGATTTGAACCCCCTTGAACATGTTTGGGATATTCTGGGGCGGCGCATACGGGCACGAGATCCTCATGTACAAGATTTACGCCAATTGGAAGCAGCATTGCATCAGGAGTAGTTGTTGTTGGTTGACCCATCAACAGATCCAATTGCAAAGTCTGACTGGATGCATGCATGAGACGTAGGGTGAAATGCGTCATCCGGGCACGTGGCGGTTAAACCCGCTACTGATCTGTTTCACGTGTCATGTGAAGTAGAGACTTTAAGGAACATTTTCACATGAAACATCAAAAGTAACTCGTTTACTTAATCCTGCAGCTCCATACTTTTTGAGGTATTTTCTAAGGTAAAAAAAAGTACCTGTGTTACCATGATGTTTTTGTCAGTAAATTTCAATCACAACTCACCAATATCTTCTTTATTTGTTGTCAACTGTTTGTTCTATCCGATGACATTGGTATCGCCCAGCTCCTGTGGTCAGTCATCCCATGCCATGATTTTTGCTATTTGTCATGGTTCAGAAATACGGATGTGCTTAACTTTTTTCTTTGTGTATATATACATAGTTAAGTGATGCTCATGGTATGCATTATACAATAGGTTCATGTTATTGTGCACCAGTACTTTAAGCCTACTATATTATGTTTTAGGGTTACAGTATTCGACGTAATAAGCGCCCACGGTGATATTTGCTAATATATTGGCCAGTGAACAATCCCAATTAGCACCCCTTCCGATAGATCAGTGTACACAACACTTATATATTCGCGTATAATACGAACTCGTTTGTTATATGCACCCTTAATTATGGGCAATTAAATTTGACTCTGTTTTTTCCCACCAAAATAATATTCTAATAAGAGCCCCCTATTTCTAATTTTGAGAGCGCCCTGGGCGCTTATTACGTCGAATACGGTAATCATCATTTCTCCATATTTCTTGTGTCAGGATCTTCATTTCCCCAATCGAACTGGACAGCATAAATTCCATGAACCCCTGAAAGTATTCGTCGTTCTTCCAACATGGACGTTGTAATACCTCGGTTACGTACCATAAAAAAATATATGAATGACCTGAGCAAATTCAGCGATCTCTATAATTACATGTCCACTTTACTCATTCTAATATTTCAGAACAACATATATTTTATTAATCGGTATAAAAGTTACTTTTGTATTTTTTTATGTCTTTCCTGGAGCATTGGCTGCCATGGTTTGTTATAATCAAAGATAGCCAATGGCCAAATATATCCACAACACAAAATCACAATGTGAGTTTGAAAGGTACGTGAATAGTTTGTTTTAAAATCTGTGATACGGGCTGGTCAAAAAGTACTAAGCATAACACACAAAATCAACAATTGCGAAAGTGTTTTTAATGTTATTTTTTAACATAATCTTCCTGCCTTTCAAGACACTTTTCATATCGATAGTGAAGCTTTGCCCATATGCAAAAGAATTACAAATATGTAGTCAGACGGGTATCTGCCACACTCGCCATAGACCATACAATTGGGTGTTGATGGACCAACGGTGAGACCTTTTTACAGGCAAAAATATGTACCCTTTCGAGACAATCTTATCGCTGAAATCGCCATACTTCTGATCCATATAACAGGATTTGGGCATCAAACAATTTGAAAATATATTCGGTGTAAAAGCTCCTACTTTCTGCGAGACAGACATTACATTGATTAAGGCCTTCTTTGCACGTGGTATTAAGTCGGAGACACTTTTCTTGAAGTTCATTGTGTGGGTAAACATTACACCAAGATATGTATAATGGCTCAGAACATTAACACATTTACCATCGAAAAACATCTTTCATTCAGTGCCACCTGACCCCCTCTTCTGAAAATGACAATATTTGTTTTATCACAGTTAACTGATAATTTCCACTGTATGGTTTAACATTCCAAAATGTTAAGCTGTTTTTGTAGTCCAACAACAATATCGGATACTAAAATGACATCATCGGCAAAAAGAAACATTTGAATACCATATTTACCCTTAGCCATAACTTCATTCTATAATTCACTAATATAAAATGAGAACAGTATCGGCTACATCTTAAGCCAACAGGAAAGTCAAAGAAATCGGTTACATCGTGACCACATCGAACACAAGATTTGATATTTGAATACATAGC